GCACTATTGCTTAAAAAATTATTAGTGTTTTAAATAACCCATGTCTTGAAATTGTCCACGAATTTTCTTGAACATTTTATAACACCTTCCAAATTTAGGTTCTGTTGTTCATATGACTTGATAAAAAAGAATTTGCTTTCTGTTTTAGATTTTATCAAAATACAACTCAAACCTAGCTACTCCAATAGCAGTTAAAGCAGTGCCACCCAGCAAAGGGTTCCTCAGATATGAAGGACAGAACATCCGAGATGTTGGCAACAAAGAAAACTGGTGAGTATGTTACATTGTAAAGACAGTTTGTGTGTTATTTAAGGAGGACATTTAAAAATTAACATTTGAATGGTAGTAAAAATTTTGTTTTTAATTAACATTTGCCAGCTTAGGTTAATAGTCTGTCTTTATCTTTTGATATGGATAGACCTGTGATCCCTGGATCACAGACTCCCAAATTTGATGACTCCCAAGTTTGATGATACCAGTATCTATTCTCAACGATTTTAAAATATATAGCCACAGTGTTGTGTCATTTGTTTTGTTGATGGCTTTTAGTTATACTTAATTGATATTTTTTATTTGTATCTGTTGCAGAAATTCTAGTACATTCATCCATTACAGAAACTGAACAACATGAGATGAAAACAGAGCTGGACTTACTTTGTTATTCCCATTCTCCTACCTCTTTCACCCTTTTTCAAACCAGCCCATTTCAGAGAGGAACATGGATGTTGATATAATCACATATTTTTGTGATGTTTTGATTTGGTTTAACGAGTCTTGTTGACATGTGGTTCATTCATTTGATTTTGAGGATTATTACTGTTTCACTGATAGTAAATTATTCAGCTTAATCTAACAGAATCGTTTACGTAATATCAGGAAGTAGGACAAATAACTTTAGAAGTATAAGTGCTGCTGTTTGCTGCTGAGATGAGGCCACCCTGACCTTCCCCTAGCCAGGCGGTCACTGCTGCCAGCCAGCTCGGCCTTTCCCTCGTCTCCCCTCGGGATTGTCCCAGAGCCTTTTATACCTTTTATTTCAAGACTCTTTTAAGACTCTGTTGCTATTTGCAAGTGACAGAAACACAACTTAAACTTAGGAAAAGAGGGGAATTTCCGGGCCTGGGTAATGCAGTATAACCGTTGGAGGTGAAGAGAGGCCCCAGTTGGAATCAGGGACTCACTGTTGTCAGCTTGTGTGTTTTTCTTCTCCTTTTTGCCAGCTTTTTACTACTGGTTTTGTTCTCTCCCATCAGCTCCTCCCACCCATGGCTGTTGGCCTCTCAGCCTCTGCTCTCCACCTTGGCCACCCCTCTGTGGAAGTTTCGATGGCTTGTCCTGGGTCAGAGGCACTCCGGCGGACCGTCTCCTGTGGCCAGGAGCCTCTGGAGCTTGCTGGCAGCTTCAGACTGCCCGTCCATGGAGCCTAAGATCCTTCCAGTTTAAGTACAACTGGAAAGTAATTATCTAATTAAGTTCATGATAGTGCTGTTGGAGACGTTGTCAGATTACAGCCAGTGGGAAAATAAGGGTCTGGTGTACTGTGGAGACCAGTTTAAAATTTGAGAAGAAACTGATAAGTATCATGACAAAGTGCTTCAAAGGCTTAGCTGTGGGAAATTTGATGCAGTAAAGATTACCCATTTTTATGATTGTGTCCTTTTTTTTTTTTTTGAGACAGAGTTTCACTCTGTTGCCCAGGCTAGAGTGCCGTGGCGTCAGCCTAGCTCACAGCAACCTCAAACTCCTGGGCTCAAGCAATCCTCCTGCCTCAGCCTCCCAAGTAGCTGGGACTACAGCCACGCGCCACCATGCCCGGCTAATTTTTTCTATGTATATATATTTTTAGTTGTCCGATTAATTTCTTTGTATTTTTAGTAGAGACGGGGTCTTGCTCTTGCTCTGGCTGGTCTCAAACTCCTGAGCTCAAACTATCTACCTGCCTCAGCCTCCCTGAGTGCTAGGATTATAGGCGTGAGCCACCGCGCCCGGCCCATGATCGTGTCTTGAGTCAAATGAAAGACCTGTCACGTTGTGCTCTATTAATCCTGTCAGAAAATTGTTACCAAAACAAAATTTAGTCCTTGTTCTAGGAATTACTGTGTAGTTGTAAGTACTGTAAGTATAATTTTCTTAAATATAATGTAAAACAAATTATTTTCAAGATTTAGTTTTCCAAGTAAAGCTCAAGTCAACCTTATATACACTGATGATTCCAAAATTTATATCGCCTTTTCACTGTGTAACCATAAATGTATGTTAGTCCACAGAACTGGAAAAGACTGGAGGGAGGGAGTGGATCCAAGTGTACCAGGGACTAAGTCCTGGGCTTCTCCCAGATTTCGAGGATGTATACAGGCAGAGTAATCTAGCAAAGGCCAGTGGAGTAGGAAGAAAATATTTCAAGGAAAGTGATGATTCTGTCAATATTGGTGAGAATTCAAGTGAAAAGAGGACTGAGAATTGACCAATGGATTCGGCAAAGTCGTGTTATTGACAACACCGATTAGCTTGGGTGAAGTGCTAGTGATATAAGTCTGGAGTGGGCTGAAGAGAAAATAGGCGAGGAAGTAAAAACAACCGCTTTAGGCAGCTCTTTTGGCTAGTTATGCTAGAGAAGGCAGGAGAGAGAAGGGGCAGCATCTGGCAGGGGTTATGGAGCAAAGAGAAGGTGTTAAGATGGGCAATAAAGACTTGAGCATTTCTCATTGCCTGCAAGGGGCTCCACTTGCTTTGTGGTGACCCCTGAAATTGATTTGTCCAAACTTCATCTTTCCCTGACCCTTACCACCTTTCTCCGATGATCCTAGTCTCTGTTCCTTAGAACTGTGATGTTTCCAGCTTCTCAAGCTCCAAACATTGGGATCTTTCAAGCATGTCTTCCCACTGCTCTTAAAATGAAACCCAAGATCCTTACTATGGTCCACATGGCCCTGCGCAGTTTGACCCCAGCTTGCTTCTCCCTCCTGCACCGTGCGTTCTGGGCACACCACCATTCTGCCTCCAAGCCTTGCACACGCTGCTCTCTCTACCTAGAATATTACTGTCTGCCTCTGCTTCACTGGCTCTCTCATCCGTAAGTGGTGGACACCTGGTGTTTCTATCTGCCCCGTACTATTGCCCTTAAGAACTTATAGGCCAGATCCAGGCTCCACCAAGTAGCATCACAATTTCTAATCATACTGGTCAGAGATGGGCGTGGGACCCCAGCCAATTCTGGGACCTTGGGCAAGTGCTGGAGAAGAGCAGCACACCCCCTTTCTGGAGCTGTGGCCGCACCGTCCCGCCGTGGAAGGGAAGCCTGTGTGAGAGGGAGCCCCCCTCTCAGTTGAGGCAACAACTGTGTTTGAGGCCAATGATCAGCTGGGCCTGACGCCAGCTAGCTCTCCCTTGGACTTTTCTGTTAAATAGTCCATAAACTCCTTGTATTTAAGCAAGCTGGAGTTTTAGAGTCCTGGCTGATGCGCTTCACGTCTCAGATTGAATGTCATTTTATCAAACTATCTTCCCAGTTTAAAAGAAGTCCTGTCTGTTTCTCAGCACCCTATTCTTGTCCTTCATACACTCGGTACAGTGTGTAATAAATACTTGGCTGTACATTTATCTAGTTCATCTGTCTCCCCCATTGGACCACAAGCTCTGTGAGGGCAAGGCCCCTGTTTGCTTGCTTTGTTCATTACCCTGGTACCTAGCAATTTAAAGTATTTGAATTAGTGATGACATCAGACAATTGAGATCCTACTATACCAGGCACAGTTCTAGATGCTTTACACTTACCTCAGCCGTAACCTATTTAATTCGTTAAATCTTTGAGGTAAGATTTTTCAGGTGAGGAAATTGAAGCTTTAATGATCAACTTTCCTTTCCCACGTCCCATTTCCCAGCCTGAGCCTTGTGATTGCCATGCCCTCCGGATGGTCTCTGAACATCCCTGGAATATTCCCTCCCCTCCACCCTCTGCCACTATCCTAATTCTCACCTAGATTATTGCAATAGTATCTGACACTCCTACCTCTTTATCTTGAACTCCTGCCGAAAGTCAGTATGTAAGAAGTGTTCCACTGTTTATCATTTCCTCTTTTGTTAGTGCTGTACCCTTTATCTGGAGTACAAATCCCACTTTTAGGAGTTGGACAAACTCAAACACCATTTCCAGAAAGCTTTTCATTATCCCACCATATAGTATTCTCTTGAGTAGCAATTTATCCTCCTTTCTTGTCACCCTTTTCTACCTTTTGCCATCTTTCCTCCTATCTAGACTAAGACTTTATGATGAAGCATCTGTATCTGTGCAGATTGATCTCTGTATTGCCAGTTCCATGGCACCTAGTACGTATGTTATTAAGTATGGAATGTCCCATTTCCTTAAGTACTAAGTTTGACAGTTGATATGTCTGACATTTCACTTTTGACACTTCTTCAATCTTTTTTGTTGGTTTTTTGTGACGGTACATCCTCATTCTTTTAAACGCACATTTTGGCTTGTGATTTATCTTTCAAATTTTTTTTAGAGCAATTTTTGTGAAACCATGGATAAGTCAAAAATTCATGTTATTTTTGAAGATGAATTCCGTTGTGGAACCAATGCAGCACAGCTCAAAATATCAACTAAGTGTTGGGGAAGGATGTGGCTAATGAACGCACAGTATGTCGATGGTGTGAGAAGTTCCATTCTGGTGATTTTAATATTGAAAATGAGCCCTGAGACCAAGGTGGATAATGATGAGTAGAAAGCTGTAGTGGAAGCGAATCCATCTCAACGTACTCATGAATTAGCAGCAAGGTTTGATGTTACTATTCCAACAATATTGGACCATTTGAAACACATGGGCAAGGTAAAGAAGCTGGATAGATGGGTACCACATGAATTAAATGAGCATCAGAAGAGAAATCGTGATGAAGTTTGCCTTTCTTTGCCATCACAACATAAAGGCGAACCATTTCTACACCGTATTGTTACATGTGATGAAAAATGAATTCTTGACAATTGCGAGTGTTTGGCACAATGGTTGGATGAAGATGAACTGCCAAAACTGAATGTTCATCAAAAAAAAGCTAATGGTGTCTGTTTGGTGGTCCAGCGCTGGTATTACCCACTACAGCTTCACAAAACCTGGCCAATCAATTACAGCTGATGTCTACTGCCCCCAGTTGGATGAAATGATGAGGATGCTTGCAATGAAGCAGCTGAGACTGGTCAATAGAGACAGGCCAATTCTGTTGCAAGACCACGTGTCACAAAAACAACGCTGCTCAAACTACAGCAGCTGGACTTGGAAACTCTTGTCATATTCACCAGACCTTGCATCAACTGACTACCACTTCTTTCAGGCTTTGGACCACTTCTTACAGGGAAAAACATTCAGTTCTCAACAAGCTGTGCAAAACCTTTTGTGATTTCATCGCCACTTGCTCTCCAGGCTTCTTTGCTGCTGGCATAAACAAGCTACCATCAAGATGGCAAAACAGTCGATAGTTTAGGCGCATACTTTGTACTGCTTGAGATACAATAAACTACACTTTTGATCTGAAATCAGACATATATTTAATGACCTAATAATATAAGGCATTCATTTAATATATTTTATTCCCTGCCAAAGTATTGGAAGTGTGAGGGGAGTTAAAGTAATCAGGAATACTTCAAATTCTCTGCCAGTTTCCAATAATTACTATCTTTAGATTTTACACAGGTTTTGAAAATCCCTCAGGAGGTTCATCTAATTCTTAAATTGCTCTAATTTCACCAAATCCTACCTGTGAAATTTTCCCAGTTGGTTGTAACTGAGCTGACATGCTGGCCTGGGTAGGGTAGGAAATTCCGAACAGCCAAAGGCATAAAGTAAAGGGACTAGAAATGTCTTTTTTCTGTTTTCTTTTAAAATCAGCTGACATTTATTGAACATTCACTATCCATCAGGCTCTCCCCTAAGCAGCATTTCACTGACACCTCCCAACAGTTTTATGAGGTAGATATGTCATTACCACCTTTCCACAATAAGGTCTGCATAACATTCTCAGGCTAAGGATTTTTGCTTATTAAAATTACTTTTTAGTATTTAGTATTAAAACTGCTTTTACGTTTTAGCTTATTCCCCTAGGGATTTCAGGGGGGGCGGAAGAATACATGACTTTTTCTTCATAGAACAGTTGCCTAGTCCTGATTAATCCTTTCTAACAGAATAAACGTAACTTCCTTCAAGCTTGTTCCACTACATGTTCCAGGAAATTATAGCTATTGGCAAAAGCAACCTGCATCTAAGCAATAAAAGACAAACCAGAACAATCAGGCTGCTCTTATCAAAGTGGAAACATTGACTATATCATTTAAAAAAAAAAATGGTGTTTCTGGTTTGTATAAAAACTGGATAAAGGTCTACTTTATCTTGGCAGAAATTTATAATTGTAGGGGATAATGTCACTGTAAGAGCAGTATCAGTGTAGTGTGG